GAAAAAAAACCGGTCCAACCCGGTTCAGAGCCGGTTCGGGCGGTTTTTGTACCGGTTCTTTGATTTTTTAGTATAAAAACCGAACCAAACCACCTAAAGCGGTCCGGTTCGGGCAGTTCGGTCGGGTTTTCGGTTATAATGCTCACCCCTAATGCGTTGTGTGTTGCAGTTGGGTTTTGCATGTTGGTTCTTTCTTGCGTATGCATTGTCAGTACCTAATTAGTTTTGCATGACGTAGAGCATAACAATATGCTAAGAAAATTGTGATTGTGGCCGACAAGGTTTTGTTTACCTCCCCATGTTTGTTGCAACCGGTTTTTGGGACCGGAAGCCTCTGCACTACTGCATTTGCATTGAACACCCAATCCATCTCATAGGGATATCGTTGCGGCGGTATTCCAATCACACAGTAGTTTGTTTTTAATTTTTTCACACAAATATGTGATTGATTTGAGATACCACCACTAATGACATTCCCGGTGTAAATAAGTTTCTCTTGCGCTTCAACCACATCATCATAAGTCAATTATCTTTACAGTGTTACAACTTAACACAAGGTCTAATCCTTTTCATCTCTCTTCAGTCACGCTTTGTTCTGCTTTCCTTCTTAGCCAAAACAGAAATTATGATCTTTTGTCTGTAAAGGATTTTCGCAAATTCTTATCATATTGTCATCTCTCTTTTTTCTTTTCCCACATTATGTATCTCAATTTCATATCTTTATTATCATTATGTAAGAAAATGCCATGCATTATAATCAATCAATCATACATACATACATACAAGCAACAATATCTTTGAGGAAATCTTATTACATAAACAATACTAAGTTATCTCAATTTCATATCTTTATTATCATTATGTAAGAAAATGCCATGCATTATAATCAATCAATCATACATACATACATACAAGCAACAATATCTTTGAGGAAATCTTATTACATAAACAATACTAAGTTATATCAAATGAATATTGAAAACGAAAAATAGAAGTGTGGAGAATATACTGAGAGTTGTATATATGAGCATGAAATGATGTGAGGAAATGTGCACAAAAATCATTTCGTCCAAACTGTTGCAATAGCAATTGATCAAATAATTTGCTCTAGTGTCAACCTCAAAAGCAAGCAAACGAAAGCGACGATGTCTCTTTTAACCTAAAGATATTTTATTTGCAGTGCACATGTGATGTACGAGAATACTTGCAATTTGGACAGTTCATGAAATTCATAAAGCAATGCGTGGCATGCATTGAACAAGTGGTCCAAGCAAGGCTTCCACGTATACCTATCAAACGACACAGATTCCTTTTCCCATTTCAAGCGTATTTATTTCTTTTTAATTTGTACTTGAGAAAGTTGAAAGATGCAGACGTTATTTCCTTTGATTCTTTTAGATTCAAGATATTCAATCTGATTTGGTCACTTAATTTTCCCATTTTGTTTTAAATTTCAAAGAGACGGACAACACATGAATATGAGATATTGAATAAAGGTATGCAAAAGTTCAGTAATTCATACTCAATTGATCAACCCACTCTGATAATAGGATAAATATCTCAGAAACGGGCAGCGGTCCATTACTAACGAGAAATTTATAGAATATTACAGTAGTACGGTCATGTGGTACATTGAGTTATATTTATTGATATTATTTCTTAAAATGGGAAAAAATAAACCTTGTCGTCTACCCATATTATAACACGTGTACAAAATATACCACGTGATCATACTAACGTAATATATATCCTTTACTAAAGGCCTGGAGAGTAATTTGGCTCGTTATGTTCTTTATAATTAACAATCACAAGTGACTTCTTACAATGGCTCAAGGCTAGCTAGTTTCTCAGCATGTCGCTCTCACTATGTTTACTTCATTTTATCTTAATTGTCCGTTTCAAAGCACCATCATCGTAAGTCTTCCTCTATTATTTAAATTTATCAAGAAGCAAATCCTCTGCTTAATTTTTCTTTACTATAATTTGCTCGGCGTGAAAATATATGACCTTTAAAATCCCCAAAGCAAAGGGCACAATTTAAATCCATACACAGAGACAAAATAAAATAACTAGTACATGCAGGAGAACAACTTACACAACACACTGATAGAGGGCCAAGTGATATATGCACAAACAAGGTTTGCTTTCAATAATTCAGCTAGGAAAGGTAATCTCTATATGACTGACTGGTGTCACCGGATAGTCTCTGTCTTGGATGTGCAATTTATTCATTCCCAATTATGTTTGTGCTGGTGAAGTATTCAAACAATTAATGTACAGCGTTTGTAGAGGTTACCTGCAGTCTGAAAAAGTATTCAAACATTTAAGGCAAAAAATTTGGAAGAGATAGAGTTTGGTTGACAGTGGTTACCCTTACCACTAGGTGGCAAGATGTTCTGCTGCCACATACTGTATGTCAAATGCCGGCAGGTATAGGGAGGGGATAGAGTGTGAATAAATTAATGGAAGAAAGAAATTGACAAAGAATTGTGGATATTTCAACCCAATTGAATAAATAAGAGATTAACAAAATAAATTTTTATAAATAAGCCTATTTTAGCATTATGTATTATATAAAAACTCATATAAATTGTATTTGGAGAGATAAACTTAAAACTAGCTACTTGTCATTTTCTATTTGGTTTTTAGTGCGTTAAGATTTTGAGTTTTTCTCTCTAAATAAGCCCATAAAAAAAGGAAAACTCACTATTATATCCAATATATGGGCCCAAATTATTTAAAAAAAAACTACATGAAATGGAATTTAGAAACACACCTAAAGCCCATTTACAACATAACAAAGAGCCTTCAAACTTTCTATAAATTACAAAACTGCCATCAATTTCCTAAAATAAACCTAACCCCAAAACCCCATAAAAATACCAAAAATACTCAAAAGGATATCAAAGTAATTTAATAATCAAAATTAAATTCAATAGGGGCATCTATCATTTTTTGGGGGTTGTTTATATAAATTAAATGGTGTAGGGTTTATCTATATCACTAATGCTAAGAATGGGTATATAAATAAATATCTCTATAAAAAAACTAGTGTTTTAATGTTCTTTATCGGAATAGGTCATGCGCAAAACGGGGACCTCTCCCAACAGAGTTTGCTCTATTTGCAAGTGCCTGGGATTGAACCCAGGACCTCTTGTTTAAAGGATCCAAGCCCCTTCCACTTGGACCAACTCATGTTGGTGAACTTAGGATCTCTTTTATTATTGAAAAAAGCTACCACTAGAATTAAAGTTAATTAGAATACTTTAATTAAATTTATTTTTTAGGTAAATAAATTGATGCCAAAAAGAAAAGAGGGGCAAAACCCAACAACAAAGATATAAATGGGTTGAGTTATTGTGACTTTTTTTAGTAAATTTTTGGAATCACCGTCATACTGCACTTGTGGTGTCATACTTCATATTATAAATTAGTAGCAGTATTACAGTGTCACAATAACAAAAAATTCACCACTTCATTAATTGTTACATAATTAGTGAAATATACTACTCTTTTATAAGAAGTGATATTTTGCGTTAGGAAACCGAATAAATGACCACATGTATAGGGGTAGAGATTTCTAACAACTCGAATTACAAACTCATTGTCTATCAAGAATATAAAAAAACTTCGTTATATGTATATAGAATTTTTCTCTAATGTGGGCGTCCGCATATTGTTAAAATCCGGTTATCCCCTCTACACCTTATTTTTTTGCAGTTGGATTGCATTTCTTCAATTCCAAGTGCTCTACAATTTGTATATATAAACAAAAACATGTTGCAAGAGACGTGAGAGCAACCAATGGGAGTGCTTTCTTCTTCTGCAACTCCACTTTCCCACATGTGCTTTATGTGCTTTCTTCTTCTGCATCTACACGTTCTAACCCATGATTGCTTTTATAATTATTTATATTAGCAAATTATGGACTACTTGGAATTTTAGGAAACCAATCCACCTGGAAAAAAAAAAGCTGTGAAAGGGATGATTGGATTTTCAGAATATGCAGAAGTCCGCATTAGAGAAAGACTGTATATATATTTCAAAATCTTGTTATATAAATACATGCGATCTCGAAACTATATTTCTATAGTCATAATCATCCTTGTTTATTGAAGTTGTTTTAAACATTAGGGTTGCCCTTTGTAATTTTCTATTTCTTAATTCATGCAGACGTCCGCATTAGAGAAAGACTGTATATATATTTCAAAATCTTGTTATATAAATACATGCGATCTCGAAACTATATTTCTATAGTCATAATAATCCTTGTTTATTGAAGTTGTTTTAAACATTAGGGTTGCCCTTTGTAATTTTCTATTTCTTAATTGTCTAAGGAATGGCATGGGTTATAAAAATCCATGTAGAAACAACATGTAGCAAAA